CCCAAGATCCTTACCCACTTTTCAGCTCTGGCCTCCGTAGTAGGAGAATCCGCTAGCTCTGGCTCTCACTTCTAGCCCCTCTCTCTCGACCACAGGGCGTTTCTAAGTCTCACGGGGGAGGTCTGCCTCGCACCCGAGCCACCTAAACCGCAAACTCCACAAAAGGAAGCGTTCTCTCATCTACCCTTTCTGCCCCAGCCACCCATGAAGAGCAACCCTCAATACCAGGAGCCTCCCCAGGAGACACCTGCCTCTCACCTGGCCCCGTTAGCTGCAGCCTCCTCCGAAGGGCGACCCGTAAGAACCTCCTCCGGTGAAGAACCCCCCAAAGGGGGAACACCCTCCTCCTGGAACCTCTTCAGACGCCCTAAGCGCGGGCCTAGGTGGAGAACCTCCTGGCTGTTTCCCAGGCTCTGCCCAACGCCACCCCTCTCCTGGGCCCTTTCTCAGAGCCCGCTCCGGCCCCAGTCCGGTCTGCCCGCCCCGGGCTCAAGCGGCTGTTGCCCTCCCTCACAGTCGTCCCCAGCCCGCGGACTCCCTCCCGCTCCGCGTGCCCAAGGGGACTTCCCAGAGCAGTGTGGTAGGGCTGCGGCACTGACTTTCTCTAGATCCCAGGCCCACCGGAGGGAGGGGGCGGCGGCGGCGGCACGACTCCTTTGTGACAGGTCCAAGAGAGCGGTAAAGATGGACGCGAGGCCACAGCGCTACCATTACGCGCAGGGCCCACCCCCGCTTCGTACCGCCCTGGCCCTCCCTCAGTCCCCTAGGAAACGCCCCTTCCTCGGTGGCAAGCCCTCCGATGAATAGCCAATCATCCATCAGGGATTGTGTCACGTGATCATACAGCCCAGCCCGCCCCCCAGGCGTGAGCTGGCCAATCGCCTTGCCGAGGTGTGAATGGCCCAATCAAGTCTCCCCGGCTTCCTTTCCGGGCACCGGATTTCCATCGAGCTCCCGGGGAGGAAGAGACCTGCGGATTGGGTTTCGCCGCCGGAAGCGGGGCGGAACTTTGCTGTGGCGGTGAGGAAGAGGAAGCCCTGAAGGGTCAAAAGGAATACAAAAGCAAAGGCTATTTTCTTTCTTTTCTTTTTTACCCCCATCCTTTCTTTCTTTCTTTCTTTCTTTTTTTTTTTTTCTAAGAACGGTCGGCTTTGCGCTGGCGGTTTGGGGCGGGCGCCGCCGAGGTGAGGGAATCTCGCCTCCCGCGCGCTGGTAGGTGAGTGAGGCCTGGGTCCTGGCCTGGCGGCGAAACCTGGGCTCCAGCTTCTTCGCTGAAGAGATGGGGAGCCGCGGCTGATGTTAGGGTTAGGGACAGGCCTGTTCTTAGTCTATGCACGCACCCAGTGTCTTGAGTCGCCAGAGCCTGGGTCTTGCGGGGCCCAGCCTGGGGGGAGCCGAGAGAGCCCATGGGAAAGCATCTTGGTCGTGGGGAGAAGCTTCCTCCCACCTTTTCAAGTGGGCCCAGGACTGCCAGGCCTCTGTCGGTTTTCTCCACTTTTCTGCCAGGTGGGAACACTCAGACCTCAAGTGAGGAGCCGGATCTGTTCCAGAGGTCTTGGAATAGCTCAGGCTACTCACGAGATGTGGGAACTCCTGGTTGGAAATGGTTGGATCCCAAAATGTAAGTGCAGGATAGAGAACACATTTATTATATGCTATGTACCAGTTGCTGTGCCAAGAGCATTTTCTTCTAATAGAAAACAAGCCAGCTGGCCCGTTTTGCAGAAAACTTAAGGAACTAAGACCGAAACTGGAAACGTCTTGTTTGAGAGTTGGTTGCCCCTGTGAATGTCAGTGCACACAGAGGAAAAGGGGAGATCTATTCGTTCATAGCTGCAGTTCTTAAACGTCAGTGGAAAACCAGATTTCCTGGGACCGTTTTAAAATACAGATTCTCGGACCCCCCACCCTCAGGTAGTCCAACTGGTTAGGTCAGGAGTGGGACCCAGGAAGCCAAGTGCTTGCTTGGTGACCAGAATTCCCAGTACCTCTTGGGAACAACTGTGAGATAAGATTTGTCATTCTTCAGTTTGGTTTATTGATGTTTCCATGGGGACACCATAAAACGGTTTAGAGGGCACCCTTCTGAAATCCTTGAAAGGAATCAGTGTGCAGACTACTTTTTGATGCAAGAAATTGAGCTGAGATAAAGGCAGTTTTTATGGTCTTTAAGATAGAATCTAAGATGGGCTGTGAACAATTTGTAAGAATCTGAAAGCAGAGGCTGCCAGAATATCTTTCTCAGCTGAAGTCTTAATGCCTTTACCCTATGGGAAAATTCTTTATGGTTGTAAGAAAGGAAGAATTCTCAAGACCATTTAGCTGATTATCACTCCTCACTTTCACCTTCCAAGAATCTTTCTATTTGGTTAGAGTCAAGCTGCTGTTTCAGAAATAGAAAACCACATATCTAGTAAATGAAGTAATTTAAGTGTACAGTTCAGCAGTAGGCCCAGTCATAGTGTAATTATGCCTTTGTGGCAGTTAAGTTAAGCAATTTCAATGTGTTCACAATTATCTTTTGAACATACTTTGTCTTCATTCTTAAATATGATCTTTCACTCTATTATAGAAGGTGTTTTTAAGATTCTTTGGTCTTTGTTGTTGGTTTTCTGCATTTTCACTCTGATGTATGCAATTTGGTATTTATTAGGCTTCTTTAATCTGTGGAGTAGTGTCTTTCATTAGTTCTGTAACCATTTTATATTCACATATTGCTTCTGCCCCATTTGCTCTTCTTTACTGCTTTAACAAACCTTTTTACTGTTCTCTATGTCTCTTTACTCTGTTTTTCTATATTTTGGATAATTGCTTCATTAATTGTCAGTTATTGCCAATTTCTTATTAAACTCATCCACTGAAATCTTAAATTTAGTTATTGTATTTTTTTAGTTCCTGAAGTTCTATTTGGTTTCTACCATTGTTTTACAGTTTCTTATTCTCTGCTATTAATTTTGAGGCTTGATTTTTATTTCTTTAAATGTGGTAAGCATAGTTGTTTTATAATCTCTATGTTTAATTCCCCTTTCTGAGTTTCCCTGGGGTCTGTTTCTGTTGTCCATCATTCCTGCTGTTTTACTTCCCAGTTCACCTTTACCTTGAGGGTGTATTTCTTTGTGGTACCAGATTAAGATGCAAAGGGGAAGGAGATGGTTCAGACTCCATATTATGGGTGGGTTCCTGGCTTTGATTTGTTTCTGTTGCCTCATAAAGGCACTAAACTGTAGCTTTTAGTCAGAGACATCCTCAGTATAATAAAGTCCACTTTTAATATTGGGCTTAATTTCTGGTTTTCACCTTCTCCTAGATTTTGTCCAAATTCTTTACTATCTTGTTAGCTTTATTTTGTTAAGAATTATTATTATTTTTTTAAAGTTTCTAGCTTTTTTAGTATAGAGATGGAAGATTGATTGGTCTCAATTACTTAGCCCACTACTGCCAGAAATGAAAGCTCTCTTTATTCTGGTTTTTGGAATGTGAAATTTGTGTGACTTTTGGCCCTGTTAAAGATGATTTGTCTTCATATACCTAAAATTTCTACCATTTTTCACAGCCTCCATCAACATTAAGCTTCCCTGATGCTTTATTCTAGTCTTTTCTGAACTCCTTAGTGCTTAGCATCTACTCCCCTTATGGCATTTTACCTGCTTTTCCTTAAATTGCTCATGTGCCAACTATTAGGGTGGAAAGCCTAGTAGGTGCTTATGGCTCGGGTGGAAAAAGACTTCTCATGCAGAGAGTGCAATATGTAAAAGTAAAAAGTTTATTTTATCTTTTAGAAGGAGAGAGAGAGAGAGTGGAAGAGGGAGGGGAGCTTGCGTGGCCTCAGAAAGAGAAGGGGGTACCAGCAGTGAGGTGAAGTGGCTTGCTGATTTTATGGGGACAAAGAGAAAGGAAAAAGTGATTATTGTCTGTTGAAACTGAAGCAGCTGTGGAGTAATTAGCTGGCAGCTGTGCGGTGTCAGGTTGTCCATCTGTCTTCCTTTTTCTTTGCTTCTAGAGACTTGGTTATCTCTGAAATGTAGTCAGGCTTATTCCAGGGGTGTGATTTTGCCCCTAAGATATGGTTTTGGGACTGATAGTGAGGCCTTGAGTTAGCTCCCCTGCTGTCTGTCCCGTGGCTTCTCCGGAACACCTTGAGGCTACACTGACAGATTCTAAAGGCCCTGAGCTGGTGAATGTAAAGAGAAAGATTTACATTTCCTCCCTGTCTGTTTGGTTCCTTTCAGATGTGTGGGAAAACGGAATTCTGAGGGGTGCCTGCGGGCCTGGGTAAGCATTGTGTAGGGAGAGCTCATGATTGATCTTCAGGTGTTTTTAGGAAATTGCGGGATTAGATATTTTCCTGTTATTTCACCAACCTTCTCTCTTTTACTGAATAAATGCAAGTTCCTCACTTGCCTGTTTTGTACATAGCACTGTACCTTGCACAAGAAGGTTCTCTATGGCCGGGCGCGGTGGCTCACGCCTGTAATCCTAGCACTCTGGGAGGCCGAGGTGGGCGGATTGCTCGAGGTCAGGAGTTCAAAACCAGCCTGAGCAAGACCCCGTCTCTACCAAAATATAGAAAGAAATTAATTGACTAACTAAAAATATATATACAAAAAATTAGCCGGCATGGTGGCGCATGCCTGTAGTCCCAGCTACTAGGGAGGCTGAGGCAGTAGGATCGCTGAGCCCAGGAGATTGAGGTTGCTGTGAGCCAGGCTGACGCCACGGCACTCACTCTAGCCTGGGCAACAAAGTGAGACTCTGTCTCAAAAAAAAAAGAAGGTTCTCTATAAAGATTTGCTTCCCAAACTCCCAAAACTGAATTAGTTGGCCTCGTATAGTGTAATGCAAAACCTTTTTTTACTCTGGTAGGCCGAGGCGGGCGGATTGCTGGAGGTCAGGAGTTCGAAACCAGCCTGAGCAAGAGCGAGACCCCCGTCTCTACTATAAATAGAAAGAAATTAATTGGCTAACTAATATATATAGAAAAAAATTAGCCGGACATGGTGGTGCATGCCTGTAGTCCCAGCTACTTGGGAGGCTGAGGCAGGAGGATCGCTTGAGCCCAGGAGTCTGAGGTTGCAGTGAGCTAGGCTGATGCCATGGCACTCACTCTAGCCTGGGCAACAAAGTGAGACTCTGTCTCAAAAAAAAACCAAAAAAACAAAAACCAAACTTTTTTTAAAGACATGTGAGCCTTGCCATGTTGCCCAGGCTAACCTCGAACTCCTGTGCCTGAGCAATTCTCTGTCACACCGTCCAACTCCTGAGTGGTAGGGATTACAGGCGCCCACCAGCACACCAGCTATCTTTTTTTATTCCTTATTTTTTTTTTTATTTCACAGCAGAATGTAAAGCTAATACCTTATTTACTATTATTTTTTTAAATTTGCTTTTAGAGTGGAGTTATATAAGGTTGAGGAGAGGGCGGATGGAGTATTATTTGGTGTGTGGGCTAGGTTCTAAAGCCAGCCCAGATGGCAAAATAGTGCATACTCAAAGCTACCCTTGAAAATCTCTTATGGAGGCATCACTTTGGATGTAGGAATACAAGCATTGCAAAATTACAACATGGCCAGTGTGATCTTGTGAAATATATATTTGGTCTTTTTTCCAGTCTGCTAGCACTCAACTCCTAAAATCCTCGGAATCTCCAAAGTGCTAATTTGTCTTTTTGTATGCTAATGAGAAGATTGATGGCTGGCTGCCCAACTTTAGGATGGGGGCTGGTCACTGGAAAGATCCAGGCAGGATTTGAAGGTTGGGACTTTCAGTTTCCCACTACAACCTCTGGGGAGAGGAGAGGAGCTGAAGGTTGAGTAGGTCACCAGTGGCCAATGATTTAATTGGCTGTGTCTGAGTAATGGAGCTTCCATAAAAACCTGGGTTTGGAAAGCTTCCTGGTAGGGGAACATGGGGAAGTTCCCGAAGGGTGGTGTGCCTATAGAGAGCCTGGAAGCTCCGTTCCCCCTCCCACATGCCTTGCTCTATGCATCTCTTCGTCTGTATCCTTTATAATATCCTTCATA